CCTGCTGGAATACTCGCAATTCACATGTTTAAAAATAGCGAGTCAGGGCTCAAATTGCCAAAAAATTTAGCTTTTAATAAAGTGGAAGATTTAAGGTTTTCTTATTCGATTTCTTGGAGCTGTAGCGTTTGTCGTCCCCACTGTTAAGCTTTGCTATACAAGCATAAAAATTACAAATCTTTTTCCAAGATCACCTGACATTGTCAAGAAACAACCTGACGCCCATAGCAAGGGCTCTGATCAAGTATGAAGTATCAAAAAAACAACACTGAGAAAGTCACAACGTTATCCTGTCTCTCTTTTTTTTTCAGAAAAGGATCTGGGAGTGCTGGTAAACAACAAGTTGAACACGAGCCAGTGATGCACCCACACAACAAAGGCGACCAACAGCCTCCTGGTCTGCACTAGGAAGAGCATTGCCAGCAGGTGGAGGGAGATGATCCTTCACTGCTACTCAGTACTCATGAAACATCTAGAGTACTGGGTCCAGTTCTGGGTTCCGCAATTCAAAAGAAACATGGACATACTGGAGTGAGACCAGCCATGGGCCACAAAGATGATTAAGGGATTGGAGCACCTGTCATAGAAGGATAGGCTGAGAGAGCTGGGACTGTTTAGCTTCAAGAAGAGACATTTCAAGAGGGATTTTATCAATGTGTGAAAATACTTTATGAGAACAAGTATAGCAGATGGCAACAGACTCTTCAGTGGTATCCAGTGAAAGGAGGAGAGGCAACGGGTACAAATTGAAATGTAGGAGATTTCATTTAAAATTAAGAAAAATCTTTTTCCCTGCAAGGGTGGTCAAACACAGGTACAAGGTTGCTCAAGAGACTCAAGGAGTCTTCATCCTTATGACATTAAAAACCTAGCCAGACACGGTCCTGAGTAACCTGCTGCAGTTAACGCTGCTTTGAGCAGAGGATTGGACTAGTAGATCTCCAGAGGCACTTACCAATCGCCACTATTCTGTGATTCTATTGTTCTTTACTGTCTAAAACTGAACTCAAATTTTTCACCTTCCATGTCTGAAAGTAAATCTCTACTTAGCTTTCCCTTCAAATTCCTTAACACGTGACTGGTTCTATCACTACCAGATATGATTCAAAGAGGTTAGAAACAAAAAAAAAAAAGGCTTTTTCGAAAGAAGCGTATGTGAAAACTTTGTCAACTGCAGGAGAGAAAGGGTGTAAAGGCTTTTATATGAGGGATGTATTTCAAAAACACCCAGACAACAGAGTCCAAAGACTCACGAAGCCCAATCTATAGGAGAGAGTTGCATTTTTAGCAGAAAAGCAGAGCCAAAAGAGGCCAACCAGACAGCAACAAATTTATTCTAAATCACATTGGGTTAAAAAGAGCAGTGAAGCTACAAAGTTCTATCTGTTTGTCCTCCTGAAGGCTCCCTTTAGAGTCTCGCCAAACTTTGTTCTAGAACTGGAGGGAGATATTTTGAGATCTGGACTTTCCCATGATAAAGCAACATTTAATAAAAAAAAAATATAATCAGTTCTTTATCTGACACACACCATGATATATCATGTTCACATCAATTCTGCCTTCAATTAGACAAACTAGCACAAATTGCACCTAAGTTCAACATATGTCATTTGATCATAAGCCACAAAGGGTTCAGCTCTGTCAAGGTTTAAATCAAGGCTGAAGAGCAGATGTTCTGAAGATCTGTGAGCATGGCACGCATAAAGCCTGCATTCTGATTCAGTCAAAACTAATTTGACCTTTCAAGCAACCTCTTTCTACTCCTGTGTATACAGCACTTTTGGAAACATCTGTCTCCTTCTTTTCCTGATCGAGTGATGAGGTCATGGAAAACTGATGTTCCTCAAGTTCTTCAATCGGCTGTACCACACTGTCTTAGAATAAAAGAAATATTGAAAATTTTACTGACAGGAGTTCCAGGAGCCTTGGCAGAGAGGCAAGGTGTCAGAAAAGAAATCTATGGCTATTGCAACTGTGGCTATTGCCCAGATTGCCCAGCTGGATTGAATTGCCTAATTAAGGTTTAGACCCTGCCTACAAAAGGTGGGCCATTTCCTCCTGGCTGTGGGCGATGCAACTACATCCTTGGAGCTGTGGCCTGGGCTGGTGAGCAACAGAAGTCCACCACTGTGTTTGTAATTGTAAAATTCAAGATGTACCAGAACTTTAAAATCAAAGGTAGTCTCCTCTCTCCCTCTTGGATGGCTAAGTAGGTGCCATCCTCCCCATCTGCTACTGAGTCTTCATAGAAATATTCAGCCAATGTCAGCAGTACCAGCTTAAAGACCATTATCCATTCCTATGCACAAGACAGGTGTCTTTTCTGAGGATGTCTGAGGTCTGTGTGAGGAGCTACAATTCCTCAACACCTTCCTCCTGGAGAGAACTATGCGAGGAAATCACTACAAACTAGGTAGGATTGCTTTCTTCCCTTTCTCCCTCTTTGCATAGAAGAAAGGTGATCAAAGCCATATGATTTCTTTTTACACTTCATATATCTAGTTTCCAGCTCCCAAAGACAAACTCAATAGCAAGGATATATTGTTAACCCTTGGTTGGTTCGGTGCTATTTGGTTTGATGCATCCAAAACTAAAAAGAGGACCTGGCCAAATGAATTTCTGATAAATAATTCAATCAGGTGTAGAGAGTTAAGTGCCATTTCTTCTGTGGCCTACACAATGCCAGGAGTCACAGTTCTTTCTCAGTGCTTGAGAGTCCATAATTAGCATAGCCCTACAGTGAGGACTAGCATTTTACATTAAAAATTTCATCATTTGGGAATTAAAACTGCAGATTATTTTGTGAAGCATGGCCGAGATACATCTTATTATTTAAAACAAATCTTTATAAGTATTGACAAATGTAATAAAATTTCAAACATGAAAGCAAAAGGGAAATTTTTACATTTCAATTCCAGTATTGTAAAGGAAACTCTTCCATGCTTAAAATTCAAACTCAGCATGTCAAGTAATTTCACTGTTACAGACTTGAATTACCTGAACCGGCCTGAGGGCATTATTCACTCTCTGAGAAAAATTGTACTTTAATATTGCTATGATTTTCCCAAGTAACTTTTATGCAGAAGCTGGGATGAATTTGAAACATCCATTTCAAGATTAAAGTGATGACATTTGGTGACTGCACAGAACCATGTAATTGAGAATTGGGCTTAGGGATGTGCCCAAAATTAAATATGGGAAAGAGACAACAATGTTAATAAAAGGACCAATGTTTTGCTTTCTTTGCTTAACTTCTGGGATGCAGATATTAAATAGGGTTATAAAATACAAATAAACCTTTACTTCAAAAATGTTCAGATGCATATTGAATGCTTATGCTATATGGAAAGACCATGAAATTGCTGGCCACTGTCCCAGCCCATTTAATAATTTCTGTCACTTGCAGGAGGAAAGATAATCTTCCCACTCGGTCTTAATGGATCCATTTTTGGAAGCACTGAATTATTAATCTCTTTTAGGGGTTATCTGCTGCCTTATCATTTGTTAACTTTATACAAAGTTGGGGGCTGGACCAGGGCATACTCTGAAGAGCCTTAACTCCACAACAGAGCCTGACATGAACTAAGGAGTTCCATCATTGACCTAGATAAGGCAAGAATTTAATGTACAAATAAATGTCCTTACTCAAAAGTGTATATCAGAAACCTTTCAGCATCATGCTTCCAGGTGAAACTCTGGATGAATTGGTTCTCTTGTGAGCATATGGTTTTGAAGAAATACATAGATAGAAAACTTGACACTTTTATATAATGGATTCTACCAGTAAAATAGAGTAACTGGGAATAGCTTATGTTTTTATTATTTAAATAAAGTTTCTTGTAGGATAGTAGATGATATGTCAAAAAGTAGTGGGACTTATTAAAGAAAGCAAGTGAACAGATTCATTCCTTTCTTGGAGACTTCCCAGATCAGCTGTCTTACTCTTGTATCAAGGTGCGGCCACTTCATTACAAAATCAACCACAAATGTTTGTATCTTGAGTCACTACTTTCAAGGTAACTAGTTGTCTTGATAGCAAATTTTCTTTAACTCTCTAAGAATCTCATAGTCAGGTTTTTCATGATAGTAAAACATTGATTAACTGATTATAAGGAGGTTAAGGAGAAACTGTTGAGCATTGAAGGAATTTATCTTGTAACTGATGGAAGCTAGGGGAACATGACATGGGAGTTTTAATAACTGAAGCGGGGATAATGCAGATTCACATGTGTATTAGTCCTTACGCAGCGAATCCAACGCAATCCTTAAATTCTTGCTCTGTGAGCCAATGAAGGCTGAAAACATCACTGAGGACAAGAAGGAGCAACTACTTTGAATTAAATTTGAAAAAATAGCCATGAAAGAAGTTAACTAGTTTCCTTTTTTATCTGCATTGGTTCTTTCCAAGATTCAGTCTGGTTAGGAAAGAATAGCACTGTAGAGCAGGGAGAGGGATTAAAAAAAAAAAAATAAATAAGACCTCTTTAGACAATTAAAGGCCTCCTTCCAGAATTACTACCCTGGTTTTTAACAGACAACACTAGAAAGATTCACCAATGACTGGGGTCTTCTAAAAACATGGTAGGAAATCAACCAGTGAACTTCAGTAAATGGGGAAATCTGTCACATAACCTAGGCATGCTGTGCTGTTGCTCACTGCAGTAAGAGAAATTTAAAGTTACAAGAAGTAACTGTGATCAATCTGTGCGTGATCCACTGCCTAATGAAGTCAGTATAAATATTTTAATTCACTAAATCATGTATTAGATTCCAGACACTGAAGAACCTAACAGTAACCAGCCTATTCCAGCCACTAAAGAACCAACAGTAACCCAACTATTATACCACAGGATAAAACAAAACAGTACACTGTCAAAATTTACAATTGCGACAATATATCATAAGCTGAAACTTACTCAGCGCATTTCCTCCTTTAGCTGTACCTCTCCTATGAAAATTATTTCAATGTTTTGATTTTTCTGCTAAGCTTTTCTACTTACCTGAACAAAGATATATTTCTGTTGTTCTTCCTCTTCTGCTACTGAAATGCAGCCCTGATGACTCTGTCGCTAAGTGGCTGAGTTGGTCTGAAGTTATCTCCTAGGATTCCATCACAGCCCTCTAAAAGTTCTGCACCTTTCACATGTGTCCTCAGCCTACGAAATTCCTCTATCTGAAAGGCAGAAAAACAGACACAAAGAAGCTGAGATACACTCTTCACCATGGGACTAATGATCAAAACCAGCCTTGCCCAGCCACTTCCGCAGCTTTGAAATTTCGAATGTTCACATACCATATACTAAGGTCAATATACATCATTAACAACATTTTCAAATAATTGTCAGCACTGTCAAAACATTTAATATATAGGGAAAAATAAGAACTTTTATGCACATGGTTTGACAAATGTATCCATTGCTTTTTCATAACTTCTTTTGAGATCTATAACTTTCTTAGCCATTGTAGATGGCTCAACCTCACAGTTGTGACATGCGAGTAATCATTCTGGTCTTCTTCAAAGAAGTACATTTCAGGAATAACTTGATTGAATATAAACTGTTTTGAATTTCCTCCAGTGATTTGTTTATTGCTTGAAATTCACAATTGCTTGCTTCACTTAAATAAAAATTATTATCTAAACCAGGAGAATTCTGAACAGATTCTCAGCTTTAGAGGAAGTATGATGACATTTTATACGGAAAAATAAGGTTTTTCCAATCAAAACAAAATATAATTTCAAAATTTCTATAGATATAGGTTCTAAGGGTACTTCGAAAATCAAATACAGTCAAAAATAAATATAACACATTTCAATTGGTCCAAAAGAAGTATGTTTCTGGTTTATAGGCTCTTTTTAGATTTTTCTAAAACTAAACTGGTG